TTCTCAGCTGCAAGGAGTTCCTTCTCGAGCAGGTCGACAGTGAGATCGGTGGGTGAGAGAGCAAGAAAGTGGTCCCTGACAGAGCGGAGAGTGTCAGGGAGGCGAGTGACGAGGTGGTAGAGGGTGAGGTACATCGGGGGAGGGTTCTTGGCTAGGAAGTCGGGGGGGAGCGCGGCACGGTAGCGGAGATCACTAGTACGAAGGTGAGTGATGAGGTCAGCTACAGTGGCGAAGGCAGACAGATCCGGGAAGAGATAGGGCAGCGAGAGACGGCCTATCGCAGCAGTAGCAGGGGAGGAGTAGCGGGCAACTACAGCATCATACAGCTCCTTAGCGGTCTTCTGCTGGCCGAAGTGCTCACGCTCATCTAACGGCAGGTGGCTGCGAACGGCTAGGCGAGCATGGGCGTCACGAGTCTGCCACTGTGAGCGAGCAGTACTGTCAGCCGTAGCAGCAAGCGCGGGAGCAGCGCCGGACGTGTGGTCATACAGGGAAACGTCGTCCTTGGCAGTGATCTGAAGGAACAGGTGCAGGTCATCGAGCCAGACATCAAACTTGATCGGTCGGCCCTCAGTATCAAAGGTGAGAACAGTAGGACTGGCCATAGTGGCAGTAGCAGTAGCAGCAGTAGCAGTAGTAGCAGTAGTAGTAGCAGTAGTAGTAGTAGCAGGAACAGGAACAGTAACAGTAGTTGCTGCAGGTGGGGCGGCGCGGCTCGGTCAGGGCGGCGCGGCTCGGTCAGGGCGGCGCGATTCGGGCGGCGCGACTCGGGCGGCGCGGCTCGGGCAGGGCGGCGCGGCGCGGCTCGGACTAGGCTACGCGGCACGGCGCAGTGGTGGGCCTGCGCTGGGGCGGCTGTAGCGGGCGGTCCGCGGTTGTGCGTGGGCTGCAGTTGCGCACGGGCGGCGGCCTACGAGGGCGACGCGGCGGCCTACGGGCGGGGCTGCGATGCTCTGGACGGCCAGAGGGGCCGGTCGACGGGCGGCTAGCGGGCTGCTCGTGGGCGGCGCTGGTCGTGCGGGCGGCTAACGGTCGGCGCGCGCGCAAAAGAGGCCGCGCGCGGGCTGCTAGCAGGCTACGCTCGCTAAAAAAAAGGCCACGCGCGGCACTAGCGGGCTGCGCACGGGCAGCAGGAGAAGGAGAGGCGCACGAGGGCGCACTAGGAGAGAGGCGCTCGAGGGCGCTAAGTCATTAAGGCGCTCGAGGGCGCTGCTAGTGGAAGGTGGGCCCTTAGGTAAGCGATCCTAGGTCTAAACCTACGCTCTTAATACCATGTCAGAATCAAGAAGTGATGAACGAGAAACATTTGGAGTACAAGTATGAAACCCTAGAGAAATGTACCCCCTAAAGGCTAACCCACTGTAGCCTACAGAACAGTAACATATACAATGTTTGACACACGAGTATAGTGTTATGCCCTTGTGAGGTCGAAGGAAGTCCTGTGATGAAGTCGAGGCTAACGACTTGCCATGGCTGCTCCGGTACGGGCAGAGGCTGAAGTAACCCTGCTTTTTTCTGCTTGCTACTCTTCATCCACTGGCACGTGTTGCAAGAGGTGACAAACTGCTACACGTCTGCTACCATCCAGGGCCAGTAGTAATACTTTGCTATTCCCGCTAACGTCTTGTTGCTCCCAAAGTGTCCCACGTATGGTACGTCATGAAACTCCTCCAATAGGATCTGCCGTAGCGGGGCGTAATTCGGTTCCCAAATCTTCTTTGAACCCTTCCTTACCGCTAAGTCTTTCTCCCACTGTAACAGCTTCTTAGTCTGTGCTGTAGCGATCTCTGCGTCCACGGAGTACCCATGTTGGAATAGACCCTTGAGCAGAGGGTTCATCCCGTTGAGCTGGATGCCTACTACATGTCCGGAGCGGCTCAGCGCGTTTGCCTTGTTGTGTAACCCGGGCTTGTAGACGATGTCGAAGTGGAAGTGAGTTTCCAGGAAGTCCACCCACCGCACCTATCGTCGTGAAAGTGTCGGCTGCGACTTCAAGTATTTGAGGCTGCAGTGGTCAGTATAAACTGCGGTCTTGGCTCCCTCTAGGTAACACCTCCACGCCTTGAAGGCTACGACTATGGCTAAGGCTTCCTTGTCGTGTATGGGGTGGTTCATTTCTGCTCCGTGTAGTTTTTTACTGAGGTAGGCGATAGGCAGTAAGCCGTTCCCTGCATCAGTGCTGCTCCGACTGCCTGGTCACTAGCGTCTTCTTCTACTACGTAGTCTTTGTCTGGATCTGAGAGGATGAGAACTCGCGATGTGGTCAATGCTGTCTGTAGCTGTTCCATGGCTTGCTGATGAGGAGTATCCCATTTGAAGGGTGTATCCTTTTTCAGTAGGTCTGTCAGTTGCGCTGCTATTTTAGCGTACTATGGCACGAACCTGTTGTAGTAGTTGGCGAAGCCTAGGAACTGCTATAACTCCTTCATGTTCTCCAGTACCTTCCACTTTTTGACGGCTTCGATCTTCCGCGGGTCCACGTGTACGCCCTCGGTACTCACCATGTGCCCGAGAAACTGCACCTTCTTCAGGGCGAAGTCGCTCTTCGATAGCTTCACGTAGAACTTGCTTTTCCGCAGGATCTCGAACACCTTCCGCAGATGCTCCACGTGCTCCTTCATGTTCTTGGAGTAGTTGAGGATATCGTCCAGGTACACTACTACACACTCGTCCAGCAGGGGCCGCAGGATATGATTCATCTTCGCCTGAAACGTTGCTGGTGCGTTGCAAAGTCCGAACGGCATCATCAAGTATTCGTAGGAGCCATATCTGGTACGGAACGCTGTCTTGTGGATCGAGTTGTCCGCCATCTTGATCTGCCAGTAACCCGACCGTAGGTCCAGCTTCGAAAAGACTGTTGCACCACGCAGTTGTTCCAGTAGGTCGTCTATGCGCGGTATGAGGTATTTGTTTTTTAACTGTCTGTTTGTTCAGTGCGCGGTAGTCGATGCACATCCGTAAACTGCCGTCTGGTTTTGGAGTGAAGAGAACTGGTGCACCGTAGGGAGAGGTGGATGGGCGGATTAGTTGTCTGTCCAGTAGATACTCTATCTGTTTCTTCATGTTTGTTAGTTCGGTCGGACTCAGTCGGTATGGTGCTCGTGAGACGGGTTTCGCACCTGGTTCCTCCACGATCTCGTGCTCGTGGGTGCGTGCTGGAGGTACGCCTGCAGGTAGGTCGTCGGGTTTTATATCCTTGTACTGCTCCAAGACCTCCTTCACTACTGCAGGTAGCTCTGTGTTCGGCTTCTCCTCCTCTGCGCTGCCATAACCAGTGCTAAGTAACCCGTGTTACTCTCATTCACCGTCTATTCAAACCGTGCCAGTGTTGTTTCAGGAACACTCCCTGTACCTGTCCAGCTTCGCAGCTCCACTCGTTTCCCGTTGTTGTAGATGCACGCCTTCCTGTTGACCCAGTCGATCTCGGGGTTGAACCGCTTCAGGAAATCTCGCCCCAATACAAAAACTAGGCCTTTGATATTCGTGATCGGCAACGTCGGCTTCCACCTCAGCGCCCCTATGTACAGTTGCAGTGATGCTTCGCCGTGGATGGGAAGTTTCGTACCGTCCACCATCGTTGTTGCGAACTTGGTCTTCTCGGAAGGTTCCCCAATTTTCTCCAACGTCCCGCGGTCACACACTGAGTGAGATGGACCGCTGTCCACCAGAGCCTGGAGGCGTCATCCTTTGCATAACACCTCGAGGAGTAGTGGTTCCTGCTACGTTGAGTAGCCAAAGAGGGTCTCATTAATAGGATCATAGGGTACATCAAAGATATTACCAACCCTATTTCCTATACCTGACTCAGCACTTTCCAACTTCACCTGGGGGGTAGGAGGATTTTTCCGAGGCTTGTACAACTTCTCATGAGCCTGGAATTTTCCTCTCAGCCTTTGCAGCTATGTAGGCTTCACCTGTGGGCAACGGGGAGCCTTAACACTGGGCTGCGGGGAGAGAATATTAACTTCACAGAACGCACGACCCTTTTCTACGCTCTGTAGTACTTTGCCCAACTTCTCAGGTACCTGAATAATCTCTAAAGGCTTTTTCTTGGCCTCTAAATCTCCCTTGAATTTTTCAAAGGCTTGAAAACCACGAGAAGCAATATTTTTCGTTAGAGTAACTTTATAGGATGAATTGTAGGATTAGGGCCTAGGCTTAGGAGTCGAGAGAATTGTTGCAAGAAGGAGTGGTTGAACTAGCAAGCAGGTGGATACACATAGGAAACCCTAAGGGGCCGTACTCACTATAGAGTACCCCACTGCAGGCTAGACAAACTACACATTCTGACACACCCCCATAGTCAAAGTGGGGTATGATCAGCACAACAAGCAACAGTTCATAGTTCATAAATATAAGCAAAGCTAGAGGCTATCACAGAGGGCAAGTGAGAAGGAGGAGGAACTATGAGAGGAGAGAAGATGGGAGGCGACGGCTGAAGCTGCAGACACACGCGCAACAGGAGCGGCGCGCACAGTGGCTACCGGTGGCAAGGGCCCCGGACTACAGGAGTAACACGCTCCACGGCTAAGACGAGCGGCAGGAGCAACGGACCCACGGGCGACAGGCGCAGCAAGCTCTCTAGGCTACCAGCGGCAAGGGCCCCGGACTACAGGCGCTGCGGACGACAAGACTGCTGCCTCCACTCAACCTCCCCCAACTGTCCCACACCCCTTTCACACACCCCCTGCTGAACCCCTGGCTCCACTCACACTCCACCCCCCAAGCACCACTCCGAAGGCTCCCACACATCCACCCCCCTCAGCAGCAGCTGTAGCAGTGGGAGACGGAGGAGAAGGGGACGGGTCACACACCCATCACCCCCATACCCGCCACCCCCATAGCCTCCGTTCCACGGCTGCACGCGCAGCACGAAGATGAAGAAAAGGGGGGTGGGGAGGAGGGGGGGAAGAGCAGGGGCAGCACAGGCACGGGCATCAGCTGGCGGCAACAGGCAGCACAGGCACGGGCAGCACAGGAAAGGGCAGCAACGGGCGGCAATGGGCAGCACAGGCACGGGCAGCAATGGGCGGCAACGGGCAGCACAGGCACGGGCAACAACGGGCGGCAACGGGCAGCACAGGCACGGGCAGCAACGGGCGGCAACGGGCAGCACAGGCATGGGCAGCAACGGGCGGCAACAGGCAGCACAGGCACGGGCAGCAACGGGCGGCAACGGGCAGCACAGGCACAGGCAGCAACGGGCGGCAACGGGCAGCACAGGCACGGGCAGCAACGGGCGGCAACGGGCAGCACAGGCACGGGCAGCAATGGGCGGCAACGGGCAGCACAGGCACGGGCAGCAACGGGCGGCAACGGGCAGCACAGGCACGGGCAGCAACTGGCGGCAACGGGCAGCACAGGCACAGGCAGCAATGGGCGGCAACGGGCAGCACAGGCACGGGCAGCAATGGGCGGCAACGGGCAGCACAGGCATGGGCAGCAACGGGCGGCAACGGGAAGCACAGGCACGGGCAGCAACGGGCGGCAACGGGCAGCACAGGCACGGGCAGCAACGGGCGGCAACGGGCAGCACAGGCATGGGCAGCAACGGGCGGCAACAGGCAGCACAGACACGGGCAGCAACGGGCGGCAACGGGCAGCACAGGCACAGGCAGCAACGGGCGGCAACGGGCAGCACAGGCACGGGCAGCAACGGGCAGCAACGGGCAGCAACGGGCAGCACAGGCATGGGCAGCAATGGGCGGCAACGGGCAGCACAGGCACGGGCAGCAACGGGCGGCAACGGGCAGCACAGGCACGGGCAGCAACTGGCGGCAACGGGCAGCACAGGCACAGGCAGCAACGGGCGGCAACGGGCAGCACAGGCACGGGCAGCAACGGGCGGCAACGGGCAGCACAAGCACGGGCAGCAACAGGCGGCAACGGGCAGCACATGCATGGGCAGCAACGGGCGGCAACGGGCAGCACAGGCACAAGCAGCAACGGGCGGCAACGGGCAGCACAGGCACGGGCAGCAACGGGCGGCAACGGGCAGCACAGGCACGGGCAGCAACGGGCGGCAACGGGCAGCACAAGCACGGGCAGCAACGGGCAGCAACGGGCAGCACAGGCACGGGCAGCACAGGCACGGGCAGCAACGGGCGGCAACGGGCAGCACAAGCACGGGCAGCAACGGGTGGCAACGGGCAGCACATGCGAAGATAACTACTACAACGGGAGCTAGACTGCGGGCTAGGCATGGGTGCTCGTGTCATCTCTACGTTCGTTGGTCCTTAGTCGTTTTCCTAGTGCACACATAGCTTGCTAGTTCACGGGGAGAATTGACAAGAGTTTCACTAGAGAAATTTGACAACGATGGTCCAATGAAGTTGGCATGGCAAGACTACATTAGAGTAAGCATTCAGGTCGGTCGACTGCCAGCGCAGCATGGTCGACCGCGTTCCAGCACGACTTGGTCGACCGCGCTCCAGCAGTGCAAAGTCGACGGCGTGCCAACGCTGCAGGTCGACGACGTGCCAGCGTAGCTCCCGCAGTACAGCATCGCACCAGCTTCGCAGGTGCTCGCAGATGATTGGTGTGCTGAGCCTTGTCACCTGCACAGCGCACACACCAAGTCAACCTGACGCTGACGACTGCATCTAATCAGCCACGTCGACCTCGGGATACCACCACCAAGGTCGGACTCGCCAACTTCGCCTGGGCGACTGTCGCACTCCTCCGCAGAAGTTCGTCACCCAGGTAACCTGGTCGACCGGGCAACCACGTCGACCAGCTGCTCCCGTACGTGCCCGTCGACCTCCCAAGTCGACGGCCACCTCCAAGTCGACATCACCAGGTCGACCACGCCCCTGGTCGACCAGCTTCAGGTCGACGTCACTTCTGGTCGACCAGCTCCACGTCGACCAGCGCAGTTGTCAGCCGACCACCGAAGTCGGCTGCCCCAAGTCGGCCTTCCTGAAGTTGGCGCCCGTGCAATGGCCACCGTGCAGGTCGACCTCCTCGTCAACCAGCTCGCCCACTGCTGCAGGTCGGCTGCTCCCCTCCGCCCAAGCGAGGACGGGGCCAACACACAACTCCCGTTGACAGCACAGGCACGGGCAGCAGCGGGCGGCAACGGGCAGCACAGGCACGAGCAGCAACGGGCGGCAACGGGCAGCACAGGCACGGGCAGCAACGGGCGGCAACGGGCAGCACAGGCACGGGCAGCAACGGGCGGCAACGGGCAGCATAGGCACGGGCAGCAACGGGCAGCACAGGGAGGCGGCTGCACCGGGTCCAGGAGCGGCGTCGCATGCAGCTGCAGGGTCGGCGCTATGGGCTGCTGCAGGGGCGGCTCGCGAGGTCCCTGAGGCGGCGTTGCGGGCTGCTGCAGGGTCGGCGCCGCGGGGTCCAGGGGCGGCGTCGCGGGGTCCAGGGGCGGCTGCACCAGGGGCGGCTGCTCCAGGGGCCAGGGGCGGCTGCTGAGGTCCAGGGGCGGCTGCTCCAGAGGCCAAGGGCGGCTGCTCCAGGGGCCAGGGGCGGCTGCTCCAGAGGCCAGGGGCGACTGCTCTGGGTCCAGGGGCGGCTGCTCCAGGGGCGGCGTCGCTGGTGCAGGGCAGGCCCGCGCGCGGGCGCAGGTGAGGCAGAGGCGGCGGCCAGGGGGGGGGGGGGGGCGCTGCGACGAGCAGGGACAGCGCCCAGGGGGCGCTGCGACGAGCAGGGGCGATGCCCCAGGGGCGCCGCGACGAGCAGGGGCGGCGTCCAGGGGGCGCCGCGACGAGCAGGGGCGACGCCGCGCGGGTTCCGCAGGGGCGTCGCGACGAGCAGGGCGACGCCGCGCGGGTCCCGCAGGGGCGTCGCGACGAGCAGGAGCGGCGACGCACGGGTCCCGCAGGGGCGTCGCGACGAGCAGGAGCGGCGCCTCGCAGGGCGCCGCGAAGGGCAGGGTACGGGCGGGCAGAACAGGCCCGCGCGCGGACGTGGGGCAGGCGCGCAGGCGGCGTGAGAGCAGGCCGCGCGCGGGGCAGGAAGACGCCGCGCGCCCGGGGCGCACGGCGGGCAGAAAACCGCAGTGCGCCCCGAGCACACGGCGGGCAGAAAATCGCCGTGCGCCCACCGCGCGCCCAAGGCGCGCGACAGGACGACAGGCAGCGGAAGCAGACTGGTGGGCCCGTTAAGGAAGGCAGCAGGAAGGTGCCTGCTCTGAATACCATGTTGAATAGAAGGAGTAGGGCCTAGGCTTAGTAGACTAGGCCAAAGGGAGTCGAGAGAATTGTTGCAAGAAGCAGTGGTTGAACTAGCAAGCAGGTGGATACACATAGGAAACCCTAAGGGGTCGTACTCACTATAGAGTACCCCACTGCAGGCTAGACAAACTACACATTCTGACATAGGATACTTTTAACGAATTCTTACTTTCGTGGGTGTTCGGCTGGAGTTTCCCGGTCGGTGCAGAGTCTTTTTTCGCGGAGCCTCCATTCGCCTCGGCGATTTCCCCTGATGCCGGCCGGTCGTGACGTTTTATATTCGCGCCATCATTTTCTCCTTTTTTCACCCGCTCCGAAGTCGCCACGTCGTTGCCTTTTTCTGCTTTTCAGGTCTTTACGCGATCGCCAGGTCGATCCGCGGCTACTTGCGATTCCCGTTTTTTTACTTTGAGGGTGCTCCATTGTTGCCGCCCAGCAGTGCCGCAAGTGCCTTCTTCAATTTGTAGCACGACAAAATTTGATGCCCCGCTGCGCCGCAAAAATCGCATTTTGTCAGTTGCTGCTTCACGTCAAATTTGTCGATATCCATCGGTTCGGCGAACGTGGGGGGTGCCGATCGCTCCGTGCCGAATGTGCGGTTCGGCTCGTAACATCGTGTTTCGGGTTAACCACGAGTCAAAGCGTCGTATCGTTCGGCAGCACGCTCGATGTCGGGGTAATTATTGTAGTTCGCTGCGATGACCTGTCGGCAAATCTCCAATTTTAACCCTTCTGTGTACGCCTGGATTTTTTCGCCCTCGGTCAGGTCAGTGATGCGGTTGAACAGTTGCTCCATCTATTGCGTGTACTGTGCTACACTCTCATATTGCTTGTGTCCGTGTATCTGCTGCCGCGCCATGTAGGTTGTATTAATTGGCTTGAAACGTTCGATGAGGTCTGCCCGAAACTGCGCCCACGTTTTCTCCCCGCGGGCCACGTCAGTGTAATAAATCCACTCGAGTGCTGGTCCCCGCAACAGTGTCGCTGCGAGCCGAATTCATGTTACTAACACAAGAGCAGTTAGAACGAGGAGCCATAGCTAGGGTTTACCTAGCTAGGCAAGAGAGAGATAGGCAAAAGAGAGGGTTTGACTAGCAACAGTTTGGGATACAAATAGGAAACCCTAAGGGGCCGTACTCACTATAGAGTACCCCACTGCAGGCTAGACAAGCATTATATTCTGACAGTTACGTCGTGTGTCGGGGTCGAACAGCCAATGGCCTCGAAATAAATTTCGAGGGTCGCCACGAATCGTCGAACGTCAGATTCTTTTGCGCTGGGATCGAACGCTTTAGGGGTGAGCTGCTTTGAGGTTCGGCGAAGGTGGTGCCATCGGTCCGTGAAATGTCGGTGTCGCTGCAGCTGCTGCTGCTGTCGCTGCTACGTTCGCTGCTGCATTGACTGTTGCGGTGGCGGCTGCGGATTGGTTTGTCAGAAGGGCCTCGAGTCGCCGAATTGCCACCTGCGTCTGTTACACGCCGGTGCGAAGGGTGGCGATGTCGCTCGTCGTCGCGTAGTTGTCGCCTTGACCCTCCATGCCTGACATTGCGCGTTCGAAAACCGAAATCGAGGGGGAGTGAAAAACACGGAACCGACTTTACGTACCCGAAATCGGTGTTTAACAGTCGTCGCCCCCGCGGTTTTTGAAGACTCGGTTTTAGCGATCGAAAAAACTTCGCGTGTAAACGGCTCTGAATACCAAGTGTGGGGATCTAGGATCGAGCTCAAAAAAGGGAGTTTGAATTGAATGATCCACCTGGGTACAACACGAGGGTATATATGTCAAATTATATGCATGTTATGCATGTGTAGGCTATAGTGGGGTAGCCAATATAGGGTACAGCCCCTTTTAGGGTTTCATATTTGTACCCAACTCTTTCATAGTGGACTCATTCCTGCTGCTAGATTCTGACATGGTTTCAGAGCACTAGGTCCGTAGGACCGTCTTTTTTTTTTGGGCCCACCTACCGTTGCGGTTACCGCGCTACCCCACGTGTTGTCCTGCCCTGCCTTGTGACGTGCTGCGCTGCGCGCGCCGTCCTACAGCCCTCGCACTGCCTCTTGCTGCCCTAGGCCAGCGTGCCGCCCCTGCAGGCCCGTAAGGCCAGCGCGCCGCCCCTGCAGGCTCGTAAGGCTCACGCGCCGCCCCTATAGGCCCGTCAGGCCCACGAGCCACCCCTGCAGGCCCGTCAGGCCCGCGAGCCGCCCCTGCAGGCCCGTCAGGCTAGAACGCGGCCCCGCCCTGCCTCTGACGCGGCCGCGCCCAGCCTCTTACGCGGCCGCGCCCTGCCTTCGACGCGGCCGCGCCCTGCAGCTGACGTGGCCCCGCCCTGCCTCTGACGCGGCCGCGCCCTACCCCTAACGCGGCCACGCCCTGTAGCCGACGCGGCCCCGCCCTGCCTCTGACGCGGCCGCGCCCTGCCTTCGACGCGGCCGCGCTCTGCAGACGACGCGGCCCCGCCCTGCCTTCGACGCGGCCGCGCCCTGCAGTCGACACGGCCCCGCCCTGCCTCTGACGCAGCCGCGCCCTGCCTCTGACGCGGCCGCGCCCTGCAGCCGACGCGGCCGCGCCCTGCCTCTGATGCGGCCGCGCCCTACAGCCGACGCGGCCCCGCCCTGCCTCTGACGCGGCCGCGCCCTGCCGCCGACGCGGCCCCGCCCGGACGCCGACGCGGCCCCGCCAGCCCTGCAGCTAACGCGGCCCCGACCTGCCGCTGACGCGGCCCCACCCTGCAGCTGCCGCGGCCCTACTCTGCAGCCGCTGCTGTGGCCCAGCCGTCGCCGCCGTCGTGCGCCTACCCTGACGCCGCCCGCCGAGCGCCGGCCCTTCCCGCCACTGGTGAGCACCTGCCTTGTTCGCGCACTTCCGCGCCGTCTGCCTGCCTGCCTGCCTGCGTGCCCGCCTGCCTGCCTGTCTGCCTGCATGTCGCGCCTGCCCTGCTAGGCTGCTGCTGCTCCTACTACTGATACTGGCGGTGGCCAGATGCAGCTCCAGCGACGTCCGCGCGAGTCTCTCACGCCTCAGCAGCTTCGTGAGTGGTACGCTAGTTGGGGTTGTGGCGGTAGTCGTCGTGGCTGTCGCCCTGGAGCTGGTCAGTCGAGAGCGTCTGGCAGTGGCCAGCTGCATCTGCAGCGGCGTCCGCGCGAGACACTTACCCCCCAGTAGCTTCACGAGTGGTACGCTCAGAGTAGAGGGTCTTGGAGTACCGTTCGCTGCCAGTACGTCATTCGCACAGGTGCTCGGGCTGGTCAGGCTTGCAGGGCGCTTAGTCACACGCAGTCCCGCTGCTTCGCCCGGCTGAGCAATGCCTGGCGTACCGAGTTTGGCGACTAGGCTGAGCTCCCCTCCTGGCTGGAGCTGCTTAGGCAGAGGGTAGATGTCTTTGCTCTTGACTATGATGCTATTCTCACTGCCATGTATGCATTGCCTACTAGTGTTGACGGTGCCTGCTACCTGTGCTTACCGCCTGACCCCGGTATAGAGGCTGCTGCTTTAGGTGCTAGTACGTTCCCTGCT